CGCCCCCCGCCATTGAAGCGGCAGCTTCCTTTTTCTTCCATGAAACCACCGATTTTGTCTCCCGGAGACTTGCATCGCTTCAGTTCCGCTTCTACGAACCAAGGCGCGGATCGGGAGGGCGATTCCGTCGTGGCTAAGTCTACTGTAAGTTTCTGGTTTGTCAAGCATGCAGATTTCACAGAATTGGATTTTATAGCATTCTTAGTTTGAGAATGCTACATTCAATTTTGTACCAAACCATAATTTCTTAGCATTTCCACTGAAATACGTTTAACAATTTCATATCAGATTATATGAATTTGGAAGGTGAAAGCTTTTGCTCTTCCCACTTTCATCCTTTCAGTTTTTTTATGAGTTTCCCAATTGGTCATCTTAGAAAACTTGTTGTATTATAGCAGTCCAAGCGGAAGTCAGACGGAACAGATCATGAAGCTGAGACCCGAGATTCGATTAATGTGCCTGGATACAGTGAAGCAGTGCTCACTTCTGTCCAAACACCTCTCGGGGCGAAAGGGAAGGCTCAAAAAACATCGAGGTCGGCCAGGTCCAAACAAAATGGTCCATCAACTCCTGGTTCGAATCTAAGTAAGGAATATATGCTGCATAGTATTTGTTTTTCTTTGTGGAATGATGCTTTGTTACTTCAAGAGATATAAAATCCGTAGGTACGCATCCGTTTTTGTTCATTCATGTCCAAAAACATTATCTTCGTGTTGGCTGATGAGAAAGGTTACATGAATTATCAGGTTCTCCTGGTGGCACCAACAATGCATTTGGAGCTGCCTGCCGGTACGACAGTTCCCTAGGTAGGTAAATAAATTCATCATATTTATCGCATCGCCATATTTTTGTTCGACCTAGTAGATGAATAAATCTGCCACATGTGATGTACGCGTTCTTCTCATTCTGTTTCAGGTCTCTTGACGAAAAAGTTCATTGCTTTAATCCAACAGGCGGAAGATGGGGTTCTTGATCTGAATAAAGCTGCCAGCATTTTGGAGGTGATTCTCTCTTTACACCCATCTCCTTTTCTCTCTCTGATGCAAAGTTTGCTGATATATGATCCTTATGCCTCTCTAGGTTCAGAAGAGGCGTATATATGATATTACGAATGTCTTGGAAGGAGTCGGCCTGATAGAGAAAAAACTCAAAAACCGAATCCAGTGGAAGTAAGGATACTAGTTTATCATTCTTTCTCTTGTATGTTCTCGAAAGCTTTGCTCGAGAAGCCACATACCCTTTTTCTTTATTTCAGGGGCCTTGGGGTCTTAGGTCCAGGGGAGGCTATTGAAAATGTTGCCCGTTTGCAGGTACTGATAAACCCTTTCTGTCCATTTCCGTAGTATATGTCAAATCTTTCTCTATATATGATCTTGAACTCTGTTTCATAAATCATGAACCCATGTGCAGACAGAACTTCAGGATCTTACCGGCGAAGAGAGACAACTAGATGAGCAGATAAGGTTGTTTTCGTATGGCTACTAGATCAAACACATTGTTCATTTGTCTTTTGTTATTTCTCTGAGTTACTCCTATAAATTTTACAGAGCAATGCAGGAGAGGTTGAGGGGCTTCAGTGAAGAAGAAGAGAATCGAAAGTGAGGTCCTTTTCTTCTATCCATCACCCAGACAAAATCTTCTGGTGGTCCTCTTTGATTGAATTGGCGTAATTTCTGTTATTAGGTGGCTTTTCATCACCGAAGAAGACATCAAAAGCTTGCCATGTTTACAGGTCAGTATCTAGATTGGAGATTGGGTAGAGTTTCATCCTTTCCAATAGTTTTGATATTGTTGTTGAAATGTGACTGCCTTTCTTCCTGTTTCACATTTTAGAACGAAACTCTCATTGCCATTAAAGCTCCTCACGGAACCACTCTTGAAGTCCCAGATCCAGATGAGGTAATAATGGCAATGGGCACATTCTTTCTTTCTACATTTTCTGGCTTAACCTTGGTATTTCATTTCTGTTTCAGGCTGTTGATTATCCACTGAGAAGATACAGGATGGTTCTAAGAAGTACAATGGGCCCTATAGATGTTTATCTTGTCAGGTATTATTCCCTTTCTAACAATGCCTGTGATCCCCGCCATTGAACATCTTCTCGAGTTATTAAAGAACTGAAAGGATTCGTCTTTCTCACCTGTCTTGCTATCTACTCTCATGGGTACACTCTTCTTCAGCCAATTCGAAGAGAAGTTTGAGGAAATTCATCGTGAAGAAGCAATGCCCAAAGTTCCATCGAGTTCAGTCCTCACTGCTGAAATGGAAAACGCAGAAGAGGGAGAACAAAAGGATCAAAGAACGCGTTCAAGTGCTGACCCCTCCCGGGACTTAAGTACCGGGATCACGAAGATCATTCCCGATGATTTTGACGTAAGCCCTCATCTTATCCTTCCAATTCCTGCAAATGTCTGTTCATACTCTCAAAAGACTCTGAACTTCTCTGTTGCTTGTGCAGGCCGATGCAGATTACTGGCTTTTATCAGATGCCAGTTTAGGTGTTAGTATTACAGAACTTTGGCAGATCGAACGTATCCTTTCATCCGCAAATCATCTTCTTTCTGGTTTTCGCTACTTGAAACTGTAAATATATTGGGTTTCCTGATTCTTAAAACTCAGCTGACATGCAATGGACGGAATTGGGACCTCTCTGTGAAGAATATGCCATTCCGAGACCCGAGTCTCCATTGTTCAACCCAAAGGCTGCAACTTCTACAAGCGGGTGAACGGTATGAGCTGTCAGCTTCGTTTTCTGCATAACTCGAAAGACTCGGGAGGGATAAAGAAAATGGTTGCGATGTACGTCCTCTGCTCCCTCCTTTCCTGTATATCTTGTAGCATCTCTTTCACTTATAAGTCATCTTAATACCAAAATGCTTAGATATTTGTACGCAAGTGGAATAGGAAAAGATAATCACCGTTCCGAAACAAGGAACTTGACAAGACTGTGTACCTTTGGACCGTGATTATCACCATTGTATCAGTTGGTATCATATATATATATATATAGAAGATTAGAGTTTCGATACCTTGTAGAGAGATAACTATTTACTATGAGCTGACTACAGCTTATTGGGAAAACTAGTCATCCTTTCCGACTTTCTTCCCGATCCAACTTGCTACTATAGGTGTCAGTGCGACTGTAGGTGGAAACCTTATCGGGGATGCGGCTTTGTGTGCTGCGTAAGCAAGGGCAAAGGTCCCGACTTTCTCTCCAGCCTCATTGGTTGAGATCCCGACCTAATGAAAATCATAGTTACAGAATCTGTGAGCCGAAACAATAGGGTGAAAGTGGACGAGTTATGTACTGAAATTGGCTAAAAACATCTACCCTATATCCATTTCCGGATTGTATCAGAATGCAAACCCAGGAAACAGAAACCCGAATCAGATAATTGTACATACAGGAAGTTAGGTTTTGATGGCATGGAGGAAATGAACCAACCTTTTGAAGAAGAGATGGAACGTCGATACCGGCACTGATGAGGGCATAACACAGAGAGAATGAGATCAATGAGAGAGTAATGGATGTGGCTAAGTAGGCACCTCCATACTTAGCGAGCAGCTCCTTGGCTTCGTCTGTCTTTGATTTCTTCTTCTTATTCTCTCCGTCTCCTCCTCCATCCTTGGAGCTGAATATCTGCACAGAAGGTTTACTCTCAGACAACATTACAAAACTGCCTTATATACTGAATCTATTCTTTCTTCATTTGATTTCAGAAGTAACATGAGAAATCGAATGAATTCATCTTCGAAACGATGGAACCCATCATGATGATTGATAAGCATCGCAACCAAAGCAAAACCCCAACATTACCCAGAATAGCAACTAATCAAAACTTGTCCAATTAATTTGTTCGTCTTTCCCAAAAAAGACAAGAAACAGGGGAACAAGACCGATTGCTTCTCTTCGCATCGAAGAGGACGAAAGAGGAATCGAGATTTCGAGGACAGAAGCTAGAAATTTTACCTTCCAAAGACCAACTTCAAGCCCATACTTCTTCGTGATCTCCTCCGCCGAAGAAGAAGACGATGATGACGAAGTGTTCTTGCTGACCTCTCCGGTCTTCTCTCCGACGGCCCTGCTTCTGAATTTCTTGGGATTGTTGAGCTCCGAGGAAACACGAATCGAAGAGAAGAGACAGAATCTAGGGTTTCCCTTGCTCCGCAGAGAAGCGGGAGAGGGAGGAGGAGGAAATAGGAGAGCCGTCGCCATTATCGCCAACCACTCGAGAAGCTTCACTATCTTCTCTCTCACCCTTCGCCCAACTGCTTTGTTTGTTTTCCTCGGCGTCACGAAGCATATGTACGGCCAGAGAGCAGGCCAAGTTTCCAGACCAACGAAAAAAATTATCTTATATTTTCTCAGCACCCCTTATATTCTAGATATTTACAATTGTGGAATATATTTATAAAAGAGTCAAAAACACCCCCAGAGAAGCATGAAAATTACACTCAAGAACCATCACAAACAAATATCTTGACATCACACAATAACGACTCTGGAACCACGTTACGTTACTACAAGATTCACTACTACATTTTCGCAAAAAAAAAAAAAAGTCGCATTTATCTTCGTCCCCTTAGCCGGAAAAAGCAGCCCAAACAACCGAAATCATTAGAACCAGAAACAGCGCCACCGCCCAGAAAACGCCCTTCAACCTCCAGCCATCAAAATTCTTCTTCCGACCGAAATCTTGGAATCTCCAGCAGTCGATGTTATGATCCCGGAAGGAGAGTAAACACCGAGTCATTCCGTTCCATTCTGTCTCACTTCCACACTTAGACGACTCGTTACAACCCGATGATGATGCGTCGGTGTATAGTGTTTTCTGACGAGTCAGGTTTGATTTCAATGCTTGGCTCGCTTTGCTCGGTTTAGATGTTGGTTTAGTAGTCTCGTCGAGTTCTACTATATCGTCCTTCAGAATCTCGGCATAACAATCATCATCGTCTTCTTCATCGCAGTCTTCGCAGTCTTCTTCGTCGATGTGATCCTACAGAGCAATCTGCCAAGATAAGAAAGAGAACCCAATCAAGATTTTCAAAGGGTTTTCGGGGTTTTTTTTTTTCAAAACCCGAAAACCCTTCAGGTCAAGATAAGAAATCTACATTGGCGTTGTTCGAGGATTCAGCATTAGTATCGTTCCATAGTTTCCACTCTGAAGCGGAAGCTGAAAACGAATCCGTATTCTTGTTTTCGCCCTCGGAAGCACCGCCGTCGGTGTGGTGAAAACAGTCATTGGACATATTACTATGATCATCACAATCGGCATCTTGCATCTGTTTTTTGCCTGAGTTATTATTAGCTCGAAAATCGCAGTTTTTCCTTAACCGACACACGACCAAAGCTTCCTGCCAGTTCCACAAGGGAGGAAACATAATCAAATCAAAAAACCAGAAGAATCAGAAGAAGAAGAATGAGAAAGAGGATATGATGTATAATAATAATAATAATAGTAATGATGGTTAGACCGGAGGCGCGCCGATCAGGCAGTATTCGTGCATGATCCACTCGGTTCTGTCGCCGCGTGGAGCTCGGCCGATGTGGAAGACGAGTGTTCTCTTGGTTCCTACCACTTGAGTACCCATTTTCACGTTACGTTCCTTTCCCGTGGCTTTCCAGTATCCGAGCCCCGTGGCTCTACGGCTCTGCGACCCGTGCGGATACCTCCTTCCCCTGGCGCAGAAGAAGAACCACTCGCCCTCCGACTTCAGTATCGACTTGTCTGTAACACAAATGTTTAATCGAGTTACACTGATTCTGTCGGAAAAAAAAAATAGAGCTCCTCCTTTCTGTTCTACACGGTGTTCATGATGCTGCTCTGTTTCTTGGGGGATGAACACTCTGTTTCTAACTGAACTGGATCAGAACTCGTCCGGTATGAACAGTAATCTGGTTTGTACATTCCGTACAACAAGTTTGATTGTCTTGAACAAGGAAAAACTAAAAAATCTAACATGTCAGCAACTTACTGGGCGATCAAAACCTAAACCCAGTAACTAAAACCTCTAAATTTGGAAACTTTAGGTGAGTTTTCGCCGACCCATCTCTGTCTCTTTTTTTTAATTGAAGAGAAAAACAGAAACGAGAAGAAGAAGGGAACCTGGCAAGTCCCAAGGCTCGTAATTGTAAATATCGACCTCGGGGATGACAGCGACGGATCTCTCTTCTCCGGCGATTTTCCGGCGAAGATAGTAACAGATCAGCTCCACGTCCGTCGGAGAGAATCTGAAACCAGGGTACAGCTCCGACACAGCGATCGACATCTCCGTCTCCCTGGACATTTCTCCCGCCAAACTCTTCTTCTTCTCCAAAAAAAAAAATGCTTTGCTTGAGAATTTTGATTGTCTGGAAGTACACTCGTCGTACATTCCCATATATACACTCACACGTGGTTGAGTGTGTGGGACAAGTGCGTATACCCACGCGCTCGCGCGTGGTGTTTGGGACTGCTACTTTGCTTCGCGTTAGGGTTTGGTTTTTATATTTAGCGGGTTTCTGAGGTGGAAGAAGGTTGGCGTGGCGGAATGAGACGGCAACTGAAATAGAGAATCCGATTTATTTTATAACGTGGCGAAGTGTGATTGGCTAGAAGAAACCCAGGCATGAAGATTCACGTAGTCAGATCAGGACAACATCGTTCTTCAAACCGACTGATGTAAATAAAATATTAAATACGCCGAGTTCTATTTTTAGAAAGATAGAAAATAACAAATGAATTGTTTGTATTTACTTCATCAAATATAAAGATTCTATATTTAGAATGGAAAATGGCCTACTTGGTTTTTGTACTTTTCCGAAGTCATGCTCGTCCCTCCGGGTACGGACCTTTCTTACATATGAAGATCTTATTATTATGGAAATGATTTTTATCTCTCTCAAATAATCATTGTTAAGTTTAAAATTTGCCTTTAAACAATTCAATAGGTTTATCTAAAATTTTCTTAAATATTAAAAAAAACATTTTTACAAAACCTCTCTCTCAATCATATATTATTCCACCGACTATCTCCCTCTCATATCGGGAATCTATTCTATAGTTTTCTTGACATTAAACATATATATGAATCCACATGATAGTTTTCCTACCATGCAACTTGATGATCGACACGAAAGATAATTTTTCCAATGTTATTCATTCAATATGATAGTTTTTCTTTATTCTTCCGAATTGGTAAGACAATTATTACGGTCGAAGAAAGAGAATGGTTACAATGTGTGATATCTCGATTTCGTTACATCTAAACCGATTGTAATTTGGAAAGCCCAACATAAGTTTGGGCCGTTAGTAGGCTAATGGGCCTACTCTTCCATAGCCTCAGGCCCATCTCTATCCTTATATCACTTGTATCATGGAATAAACTAGGGTTGTATGGAGAGATCTGATTTGGAAATTTTGGAGTATCCACCCCAAATATACCAATCGTTTGAGTTGTATGGATACATGATTTTCGATAGGAACTCTCTCGTCATCCACCGATGAGAGTTCTCGCCGTCGTCCGATACCCGAATCTGAACCCGAAAATCGTATTCTTGTTGTCATCGAATCCAAACCCGTCGGTGGGCGAATTCAAGATTTTTCGAATATCCGATTTGTGGACAGATTAGATATCCGAAAATCAAGTTTTTCAGCCCTAGAACGAACAAATACACCTATACTTCACACTACATTTCTTCTTCTTCCTCCTTTTTTTTTGCTAAAAAAAAGATATGAGCGATCCAACAAGAAACCACCTTCGAGTTGCGGTGTTTTTAAGCAGTTCATACACAGAGAGATACAGGACAAAATCAGATAAGATGCTTCACATATATAAACAACCAGACTTAATTTAAGAAGCTGTCGGAACCAAACTCAAATCAGAAGTAATCGTCAGTCCTTCCTTTGAAGCCGATTTGTCCAAAAGTGAGACAGAGGAACAATCCCAAGTGCCACAGCACCAACCACAACCTGTAACATGTATGTACACACGCACACGTGTAACGTATATATAGACGTACATAAATACGTGCAGTAGAAGCAAATACGGAGTTTTTTTTTTTTTTTACTACCAGAACTGGGAAGTGAGTGCCGGAGGAGTGGGGAAGTGGGCGAGCTCGGAGCCAATGCTCTCGAAGAACAGTCCGGTGAGGCTTTTGCCGTTGATCGCCGGAATACTCGACGGAGCAATCCATCCGATCAATCCGAACCCGACGACGTTCAGATCTCTCCTCAGCCAATTCCTCTCAAAGCTTCGATTTTTACGCGTTTTCCGGAGTACCCACCAAGAAAATTTCAGTAAAGATTTGGCATTTTCTGAAGGGTAAAAAAAAAAGACATGGAGGCGGTGTTACCAGGTGACTCTTCCCCCTGATGAACCGGCGACTTTGAAAGGGTTCTTGGCTCTCATCGTTGGTTTCAGAAATGCTGAAAAGGTTCATCAAAGATTAGAAAAAATAGCCAAAACCCATAAACCTAATTTTCATTTCGATCTCGAGAGAGAGAGAGAGAATACAAGAGGAGAAGCCATCGTTGGGTCTCTTGGGAGAGAGAGAGGAGCCTCGGAGCCCTAACACCGTTGATGGGTTCGAAATCGCCGCAGCCATTTTTTCCTACTGATCTCTCTCTTGATGTTTTTTGTTCTGTTTTCGAAAATAAAAAAAAATGCAACGACAAAGGAAATAGCTTATAGAAGGTGGAGAAGATTACGTGGCAGAAGATAGATTGCGAGGATCTCGTTTTAGCTCAATGGTTCTTTCTAATTCACAAGTTCGGGGATGTGGGCCCCCTTTTCGGATAAAACCGTAGATTTCGAATTTATATATATATATATATATATATATATATATATATATATAAACAGGATATTGAATATGTAGAGTTTTGTACAACATACTACCTAACTCTGAAATTATGAAATGGAAACTACTTTGTATGTTCTGTCCCCCAATAAAAAAATGAGAAATTATAATTAGAAACCTTATAATACTCGGAGAGTTATCAAACAAACATCAAATTTTCAATCTACACAATAAGTTTAATATAAGTTAAAAAAATACATAGAAAATATCAAACTTTTTTTATTTATATATAAATACATAAAGTGGACTAAACTATTAGGAAAAAAAATGCACATTAAAATGGGCCATTATAAAAAATATCTTTAATTTATTATTTTTATTTCAACATATACCATTTTTCAGCTGTTATCATATGATCTATGTGATCCGAAATATAGTATGATTTTGATCTCATTATTTATAACATTAAATTTATAATGTTTTAATCAAATAATTAGTAAGATATGTAAGGTATGAAAATAATGAATTAGTGAAATCACCGTAAATTTAATGTTATAATCAATAAAATAAAAATGTGATCACATTATATTTTGAGTCGTATGTTCGCAATTGGAGGAAAAACATGTGTTAGAGTGTTGGAGTAAGAAATATTATTTTTTATATAACGGAGATTAAAATTGTTTGTGGGGAGAGAATGTGCATATTAAATATGTATTGGACCGTTGATCCGGTTAACATACATTGGGCCATTAGTTGGGTTGGGCTCATATACCTACAGTCTTTTGAGAGTCTAGTTCGCTTGTCCAATATGATTTGCATATGAATATTTGGCATTTTAAAAAATAATTCAAAAACAATATCGTAACTGTGAAGGTTTTCGGTAATTTACATTTTTTTTTTGTTAGAATTCGGTAAGTAACATTTAAAATACAATTTTAGTATAAAAAAAAAGGCGAACTATAACTTTTAAAAAACTCCTTAATATTATATATAGTGAAAAGTCATCATGAAAATGTAATTTAAAAAAAAACATAATTTCGTTACTTTTGATAGTTATGTACTAACAAAGAGACATTTTAATATATAAAAAAACTAAGTAAATGTTTTGTATATAAATATGCAAGAAGTTTTGGCATCATTGACCGCTCGGATGTTTCCTTTTTACACGCGTCCATGTTTTGTTCGATTTTCGTAAATCAGCTTTCAAGTTACAACTTAGTTCATCTATATTTATATGTTTACAAAAAAAAAATATAACAATATAGTTAATGCTATCATATTATAAATAATTTTTAAGCTAAATTAATATATTATAGACATATCTTTAAACCCCACATGAACTAGGCCCATGTCATTAATGTGCTTTCTTCACTTATGGCGATGCTAATGGTTCACCAATATATTGTTAGAGAACATATAACAAAAAGAAATGGGAGATATTTTTTTCAAGATATTATTAGTTTGCACGATGGGGGATTTGAAATTTATTACCAAGAATCTGTTGCATTTGCATTTACATTTTGACATTGCGTAAATTCAATTTACACGTGTTTGAAAACTGTTGCTGAATTTCAACGCTCAACTTTCATTTGCTTTTAACGCTTAATCAATTTTAGTATTTAATGATTTAAAGTGACACTCCAAACCGGATAACCACAAAAGAAAGAATCATCTTTTAGAATCAAATACACGCAACTGTATCTGTATATGTATCTGTAGCTGTATCTGTAGCTGTATCTGTGTATGTATCTCCCTCTCCCTCACCTAAACAGAATCAAACACCACAAAAGCAAGAACAGGGCGAACCCAAAAACGATAAAACACAAATCCTTAGCTCTCTCTCTCCTCTCCTTGTTCTCTCTCCACTGTCTCTTCACTTCGACGTATTCCTCGTACCTCGTCTTCATCACTCTCCCTCCGTCTTCTTCCCCAGTCCCAAACCTCTTCCCCTGCAGCATCCCCTGCAAAATTACCAAACTGTCCCTTCCATTCGTACACCTTCCCTCCATGTCCTCCACCTGAAGCCGCACGTCCCTCACGTGCACTTCTCCTCCCACCTCCTCGTCCACCTCCTTCCACACCTCCGCCGCACCCACCGCCACCACCGCCGTCACCTCCGCCTTATCCGCCACCGCCACCGCCGCGAAACGTATCTCCAGATCGCCGGTGACCCAGTTCCGCCGCGCCGACACCGCTCTCCGGCTCGATATGTTCGCCGCGCGTTTCCGGATCGGGTCGATCAATACCCAGTTCAGTGTCGTGTTCTCTTCCATGTCGCGGACCCACGACTCGTAATCTCCTCCTGGGTACCGGATCCCGGTCGGAATTGTCTCTTTCGGATCGAGCAAATCGACCTGGAACGGCGAATTCTTGAACCACCCCGACCCGGGTTGAGACCCGGATTCGATCTTCGTCTCTTGAACCTTGGAGTAAATGAGATCTCCTCGGTAGTACAAATCGACGGCGGAGATGAATTCCGATGCCGGGTCGGGTTTTACCGGCGGCGGGTTTGGGTCGGGTAACGGGTAGGAGTCTGAGAAGAAGGAGCGGAAACCGGAGGGAAAGGAGGAGATGAGGCGGAGGACACGTGGGTCGTTGATGGAGGGCCACGTGGCGGCGGAGATTTGGCGCCAGAGGGTTTGATCGGAGCAGATGGTCTGCAGGTATGATGACGTGGCGGCGGCAGAGGCTAGAGTCGGGCCGTCGAGTCGGGTCAGGATGTGGGTTCCGATCACGTCTGAATGGACGGCTGAGATTGAACCATTGCTGCTTAGATCGACGGTCCTCGAACCCATCATACTCTGATTTTTTTAAAACGAACAAAGATGGATATAGTGGAAAATGCAAAGAAAATGGAATATATTATATATGTATATATAGAGGGGTGAAAGGAGGTGACGGTTCAGTCAACGGTGGCTCTTTTTTATTTTTATAAAGCAGGTTGCGTGATGGCTCTATTGATACATATATATCACATATCTACGCGCATATATATACACATGCATAGAATATGTATATATTACATATCCACGCGTGCGTATATACACGCACGAGAACGCTATGTTAACATACCTTTGTTTTGTTGGGAGTTAAGTTACCACATTGATAATTATTTCATTTCGCGAAAATATATAATATGTAATCGCCTTAAATAAATATTATATACACACATATATATATATATATATATATATATTGAATAATTCATAATGTATCGTATTGGAATTTAAAACCAACTATATTGTGAATAACTTTGTTGTTTGTTGTAATATATAATGTTATCTTTATATAGATGACGCAAAACAATGATCATAGACCGTAAAGGATTTTAATATCATATTTAGGGGGAAATTAAAAAGAAAAAAAACGACAATATCATGTTTTGCACGTTATTTTATGTTATGCATCATCGTCTGTCGGTTCATAAAGGGCCCACGCACTGTTTTCTCTTGGACCATGTTCAGATCTTTTTCCGGTTCAGCTCATAACCGGCCAAATTTTCCATAATTTTAAATTATTAAAGGACAAAATGGAAATCAGTGAAAGACCTTGGTTCCTGTCCAGATGTATCCTTTCGATGAGATTATTCATACGACCAAAACCCAGATTGGGATTTTGCATCTACACTTACAATTCTATAAACCGTAACGCCGACAGATAGGAGAACTCGGAAGATTGAGCCATACCCAGGGTGTCATTTACCGAGGAAGAAGCTGCCGTCTTAGCGTTAGGCCCTTGCCAATGTCGGTACTGTTGTCGCCTTTTACAGCGTCCGCCCACCAAACTGCAAACAATAAAACGAAAATAGATCCACCGAGCTCGATTTCAAGAATTAGAAACCCAGAAGCCAAGAGAATCTTGATTCCACACGGTTCGTTCTACGGATGGTTCAGTTCAATCAACAACTACATGATACAGAAAACCCTCAAATCTCATTTTCATGGAAAATTCTCAATCCAACCCATCATCTAGTCGAATCATCCAAGAGCTGCAGCTACAGAACAGATATGAACAACGAAGAACAGCTGAGAAAAAGGGATACCAACCTTTGACGAAAAGAGTGGCAGTACACTCCAAAGGCTTCAACCTGTGGATGCTTACTGCAAACTATTTGAACAATACATGTTTAAAGAACGGATGTCAAAGTTAAATCGATCAGTAACTCACAAAAACAGGAATATTATTATATATCATAAACCCAAGAAAAGCCAAATCAACAAATAAGAAATGATGGAACATTCAACTGAGGAGTGTCTTGTCCACACCAGGCGCTGCCAGCTTTTTTTTATACATTCCTTTGAGCGTTGTCCATACAACGTTACGAGGTAGGACCCGAGATGACAACAGTAATAATAACCTAATACTCTAAACCAAAACCACAAAACCTCACGCAGCAAGCGGCTGGTGTCGTGTCTCGTTCCCTTAGCTCTCATGGTTGATGTGCGTTTTGCAGAGCTCGATACACCATGTCGATGAACTGATTGTCCTGTTGCATTGATCTTGAACCAATCAGTACACAAAGCCAAGAACAGAGAGTGATACTAAGATTGTTTTTTTAATGGTTTTGAAAACAAACCTGAACAAGAACCAAAAGGGCTTCTCTCACTTTGTCTCTTGTGATCACCGGGCTAAAGTTCGGGGTCGGTGAGGGAGTGGGGGTGAGAGATGGCGGTGGAGTTGGCGGCGGGAAGGGCTGAAGCAATGGGGCACCATAAGGGCGGTGGAGATTTGGGTTAGGATTATGGGGAGGGGCAGTGGGCACAGAAGAAGAAGGAACGACGACTGGTGGTGGCATCATCCTAGAGGAAGAAGACAGTGGAGGAACAAAGAAAGTCGATGGCTTTACCAGATTTGCGGGCATGTTCATGTTGCTGTTTGAATCGGGGTTCTCGAGAAGTGGCATCAGAGGAGCAGATGATGGTAAAGGCTGTGACTTTATCTGTGGAGCTGCTGGGATTAGAGGAGCACCGCTTGGTGGTGGGTGAGATGGCGGAGGCATTGCTGGTGGTCGCTGAAATGGCTGTCCGCTTGCCGGGGCATTTGAAGTGTTCCCAAGAGCCATTGCTGACTAGACAACACCAAAAGATTGACAAAGTCGTAAATTTCATGAAATCTACTGGAAAACATAAATGAAGTACCAAAGAGTCTTGAAACAATATATGCTGCGACTGCTAGTGTTTTATACTGAGATGGATGTGTAACTCAAGTTTCGAAAACTTACACTGAAGAAGTTCACGAAAGCAGGATCATCAGGAATATCCGCAGTGGAAGCAGTAGTTGGAGATGGTTCCAGAGGACCATCTATCACTGCCATTGTAGGAACAGCTTCCAGCTCCTCAAACTCACTGCATTCATAAGCACAAGATATTGAACTCTACGTATTAGAAAAAAATAATCAAAGGCAAGCGACATCATTTCTCATAGTTTGATGCTAACTGAGGAGGATCTAAAGAATTAACAGTCAAAAGCATATAATCAAACCCACATGAAATTCTTACCTCTTTGAAGATGATGCCTTTGGCTTCTGATTTACCTTGGAATAAGCATTAAGTATCCTGCCATTCCAAGAAACTGTGAGGCAGAGGTACCAAGAGAATGACCCACAAAATTTGTAAATGTTGCGGTCCGAACAGTCATTAGAGAAATCTACCAGAAACGCCCTCATTTTCCCAATAAGAATCAAGCACTAATTTCTAACAGCACAAATAAGATGAATCGCGCACAGAGTTCGGTCAAATCATTTATGGCCTATAACTAATTTCAAGAATGTCCAACCACGAAAAGCTAGCTTCCATGGAAAGTGCCATTGTAGTAAGAATATTTACCTGTTAAATAAAGTAGCCACCTCCTCGCATTCACGTTTATTGTAGAACCAAATACCATTTACTTCTTGAGTGGCGTTACGGTAAAGTAAATACGGACCCTGGACTTCATATTCAAAATCTCCCAAGAGATTCTCCACCAAATTATCTGCGCAAACAGATTCACAGAATACTGAAAATGTATTATAAAAATAAATTCTTACATACTGAAAGTTCAACCGCCATAGGGTGTCCACATAAAGGAACGTGCGACAATTTCTAGTTTCGGTGGGCAGGCTATATCACAATTCAACCTTCGAACCTATTTTATAAACTTTAGACAAAATGAAAACATCATACTCGTATTCAGGGACGTTATTCCAGCATCAGTCTACACCTTCTACTCGCACCCCACTGCCACCAGCAAAGAATCTCTCTCTCTCTCTCTCTCTCTCTCTCTCTCTCTCTCTCTCTCTCTCTCTCTGTGTGTAACATGAAACTAAGTCTCAGGACAAGAGGCAAAGGAAGACGTGAATACTTTCATTCTAAAAGCTATTAGACATTGCTTTAGCCTACAAGGAGAGAGGTACAAAGAACACAAAATAAAACCCTACCAAGAGAGATGTAATTTCGATCAAAAGGCAAGAAGAATGATAAGAGCTAAGCAGAAAATGAATGAGCAACAAGAAATCATCAGATACTCTTCTCCCCAAGGATCAATCAAAGAACCCTTTGCGCTCCATTCCAATTCGCCATGTGCTTATGAAAAGAACACATACAACAACAAAAAATAGCCACAGTCCAGATTGATACATGATCAAGAAAGAGAAACTGACCCGTATTTCGACGATTCATCACAATAAACTGAAACCGAGGTTGTGTACTCCTGAAACAGAACAAAAAGGGTCCATCAATAAAGAATTCTCAATCGAAGTTAACAGTAACATCACAAAAGGGGGGGGGGGGAAGCGATAAACAACAAAAAAGATGCACCTTTTCACGACGAACAGAGATCCTTCGACATCCTTACGACTCTGATTCAAAGAAACGGACACGGAAACACAAATCAGTCGAAGACAAGGGGGAACCCACAAATGGGCAAGGGCCTAATTACGCAAAATTAGTAGATTACGGAGCTTCAACGCGATGGATCAATACATACCCATTGGCTGAGCTCGATGTTGAATTCGTAGAAGGTGACATGAGCTGCGGTGATGAGAATTTCCTCGATGTAAGGATCGATTCGTTGAAGAACGGTGAGATTGAGAAGCCTAGTGCTGTTTTGGTCCAGATTTGGCATCAGCTTCCCGTTCTGCGACATTTTCTAGGGTTTCGAAATCAGGAATTCGATCTAATTTGATTCCCAAAATCGAAGGGCCCTGGAATTGCGATTGAGAGAGAGAGAGAGAGAGAGAGAGACGGGGTTGGCGTTGGAGAAGACGCAAACTTTTTGGCCGGAACCAAACGCTCGAGATTGCTTGGGGAAGAACTTTCCGGTTGAATTTAATGGGAAATTCGTACATAAATCAAATGGAAAACTTTGAGTTCCCGAGAGAAAATTGAAACTGTTTTCTTCTTTCAATTAATATATTTACGAGTTCGAGTTTTTCTAAAAATCATTTTTAGTAGGAAAGATTTACTAATAAATAAATAAAATTATTTCCCTAGTAAAAATATATTGCTACTACACATTAAGTGTAACATAAGACTATATCATCACAAGTGCACCTACAAATTAAGTGGAAAAAAACAGATTAGCACCATCTTTCCTTAACTTTTACACTAATTACCCACTAACGAACTATTAAGTCTCATTATAAACATTTATTTAAATTCATCTTATTCTGGTCGTGGTCAGTGGTCACTACTTTCGGCAACAACCATTGGCCAAACATTGTCATAAAAACGATATACCAACTAATAACAAAACATATTTTTCTGCGTACTATTTTACATTTTTACAAAAAAAAAATATATGTACAATTTCACGTTATTCACTTTTATATCGCTACATTTTAACAGAATTTAAATTGCTATAAATAAAATTGTTTATAATATGTATCAAATTAGCATATATTTATAAATAAAAAGAGACGGGCTATTTCACGTTATTCACGGTAGTATTACATGATTATTTTTTTTATATATATAAAATTACTACATACACAAAGATAATTTCTCTTATTCGTCCTTTTACTTTTTTGGTAATTGCCTCTGCCTTCTTTAGGGCTAAAACCATGTATAATAGCATTCATTTGATTTGGTAAACACAAAGTGAGTCCACAAAAGGATACATCTCATATTCATCATATCATCTCCCCTGCAGCTACTGGTTTGCTAATTTCCTCCATAGTATCAGTAGTAGAACCCTAAAATGGTGTCTTCCATAGTTTCATACCTCGAGACCGACATCGGTCTATTCGGCGGCTTTGCCTTTCTGTCGGCCGCTGCTCATCTCGAGGAGGTAGCACACCATCGAGTCCACGTCCTCCCCGAAAATGCTGTACGCCTCCATCGCCTGCATATAGCCGAATCCCATCGATAACACCGTCTGAATGCTGCTGCTCAGCCCTCCCGACGACGACTTCGTTTCTTGCTCCGACTTGCTCCCCGAAGGTCCTGAGCATTTCCCGTTGCCAAAGATCGTTAAAACGTTTCAAATCGTTAACTCGATAGGAGACTTCGTCTGATAAGAAAACACTCACTAGCTTCCGAGGAGGATGGCTCAGCAGTAGAGGTAGACGAGTCCTCGGGCCCGAGTTGCGGCTTCTTAAACCTTTCCATGATAAACTCGGCACGCGAAGCTTCCATGACCGACCTCTCGATTTCCCTCTCGGTGAGCTCAAGGTCAGAGTAAAACTTCCCCTCGGATAACAGGGCCTGGTGCAAGGGAATCATGCATTTTAACATCTTACATAGGAAAACAAAGATTCGGACGAGGATTCTATAACGATGTCGGATACTTGCATTATCGATCTGTTGGTCTTGTTGAGCCTTTATAGCTGCTTTCACCTGCTCCCTGTCCACGTTTCTCTGAATGAAAGACCGTGAAAAAACGGTGTGAAGAATACGGATTTTGCAATCGTTCCACTTGCTTGTGATCAGCCGAAACAAGATCGGAACAGAATTCACCAAACAAGCACAAAAGAGTCTAAAAATCCTCACCCCTCGGAGGCTGCTGAATCCAAGGCCAGCACCAACTGTCAGACGATGTGGATCTACCAAAGAATTGTAATGATTCCCATTGTGGTAACTCAACCTTATGGGAGGCATGTCCGTGTTGTAGTTTCCTTGGAATATGTTGATAGGCTCTGAAAATTTGTATATTTTCTCAAGTAAAATCCATTTTTTTTCAAAGTGAAAGAACAACAAGCTTGATGTCAAACTAAAGAATACCTGTGCTATATGAATAGATGTGGATAGGCCTGTTGTACATTTCTGCTAAGGCTTGAATCTCTACATTGTTGCCATAAACCTGCCACCGAGGCCACAAGGCCACAATTTAGATTGACTGTTAATGTTAAAGCTCATAACTTTGGAATAAATGATAAAATCGACGAACCTTGTCTCTTCGTTTCCTTTTCAAGTAGGTCGTAAAGCCTTCGGTTATAAATTGAGAAAAGTGATCCCTCTCTCTTTCCTAAAACATCGAGAAACGGTAAGCTATGCCCCATGGTTCAACATTAACAACATTCTTGCGCACAGGGAAATTTAGAAGACCTAAAACATTACTTTCTATGCAGCAGAAATCCCGATAGCTTAGTATTACGACATTTTGGAGGGAACACCTAATTACATGCCTTATCCATTCTTTCTACAGGTCTCATTTACACAAGATTAAATCTCATGATATATGGCTAAGTGATATTCCTTTCCATGAAATGCATTAGGAGAGCCAAAATTGTAACACGGCACAATTTAGCAAGTCCACAACTTTATTGCAAACAGCAGTCCCATCAATGCAAGTTCACTTCAGTCATATGGTGCATGTGTGTGCTGCTGGCATCATACATTAATTAATACATTCAAAGGCGAGAAAAAAAAAAGACCAAAAAATTACCATGTAATCCATGCACATTTGTCTAATCAAATCATATGCTTCAGAGTCCCCATAAACCTGATCGGCAACAGCTCGGAAGAGACAGTTGCCATCTTGTGCCATCCGCCTAACTTCTAAACCTTTGGCCCGTCTAAGATCATATTCAAACTGGCGTTCTCCTTCCTGCAAGATAGGAAGAAACACACCTAGGTACACGAATGCAAAGGCCCTCATTTCGAGAAGGGAGGACATATCTTTGGCAACTAGACATACAAGACAATTCTTACAAGATAATAGAGGGAAGGTGTTGAACAAGTTAAAACCAGCATATAGACGACATTTCTATTTTTATAAAAAAAAAACTTACCAAATCGGAATAAGAGGGCACAAAGCAAGGATTATGCTCATCAGCACTGTTGTAGCCGTCGTTTTCACTGTGGGGTCTTGGAGAAGGAGGCCGTGAACCAGTTTGGGAACTCTTAGTGGGAACAACAGAGTGTGACCCAGTCCCTCTTTGAGTTGTTCCAATCCTTAAAGCATTAGAGCTTCCCAAGATTGATCTCCTATTATCGGGATTTGCTGCCGGAAAAGGTTTTGGGGACGGAACAGGAGGTGGGGGTGGATGAGGACTATCACTACCACTCTGTGGAGAATCACAAACTACACCTTCATTTTCGACAGAAACATTTTCAGAAACCATGGAACTCCCAAACACATTACGAAACCCTTCATCATCTTCTTTATTCACAGTTTCATTGCTACAAACAGACATATTATCAACTTTTTCTGCATTGACATCAGAACACTCAGCATGTTCAACTACAGAAACCTGTTCTTGTTTTTCTTCAGTAATTTCTTCATCTCTACTGGCTGTAAGAACCTGACGAGTATTACTGCTGCCTTGTGGCTCTGCCGGAGAAGACGAAGACGAAGACGAGCCAGAATGCGTGGAGGAAGA